GGGGGGGGGCCGGTCCTCCCGAGAAGCCGTCCTGCTCACCTACGGCGCTGATGTGCTCCATCTCTGCCCTTCGAACTTCAACGTTAAAGGCAAAACTCGGTTAAAGAAACACCCGAGGTGGTTCAGCTTCACGACTCAGCGCAAGGTGGGCTCAAGTCCCGTACCGCAGACCTGCGCGCACCCGTGCTTCTGTCATTTTACCACTTCCAGGAGCTTCAAACCTACCGATTCTCATCGCGTGCTTTTCTGTTTATTTCAGTTGGAAACATTTTTGGTTTCCTTTCATGTCCTGAACAGAGTAAACCTTTATTTAAAAAAAAAAAATAATCAGTACAAACATATCCTTGAAAAAAATAATTCGGAAAAGTCAGCACAGAATACTCATTTAGTAAGCAACAGCCCGTGCCAGCACGATGCCGGTGCCAGTGTAACACAGTGCCTCAACAGAAGCATGTCTAATGCGCCAAATGGGAAGACTTTACATCCGCCAACCAGCGCCAGAATGCCTGCGGATGAACGGAGGAAGCCCCGCTCCCCAGGGATGGATCACTGCCCGGCAGCAGCTAAAGCCCTGTGCTCAGCGTGACGGCACGAATGAGGAGTCTTGAACCGTTTGTAGCCAAGGCCTCCAGTTATCTCTTCTCAGAGGCAGAGCCAGAGGTAAGCAGCTCTTCCTGAAGGCAAATTGTTGAGTAGAGGAAATCAGAAATTTGTTACCATAAGTGAGTTCTAGCATCCTCGATATTAAAAGTTTTTTTAAAATGCTGTTTGGACAACATTTCATTCTGGAAAGATATTCAAAAAAGCACTTTCTATTCAGTAAGTAGTCCCATGTTGATGTTTTCTTATTCACACATGTACAGTTCCCATTCCAAAATCATTAAAGTAACGAAATGTCCTTATTATTGGTAAAACATCAAAGCCATTCCAATCCATTTAACTCATACCAACTTAAAAAAAAAAAGAAATCAATCTTCCCACATTCTCTTTCAGAACAGAATTTCTGTTTGCAAATGAGCCATTCTCTAAACAGAAGAACACAGCTCCCTGAATCAAAGCTCCACACTGGCTTTCCCATGTGCTTCTAAAAATAACAAAAAGGAAGAGTATGCACCTCTTTGCACACACACACACGCCCCCCACCCCCACCCCAAGCAGCTCTGCCCTATTTCAGAACGTTGTTGGGGAGATGAAGACACATCAATAGGAATGACCGAGAGCGAGATACAGGGGTTATAGTCTGCCCGTAGCCCCTTTGCCTTTGCCTTCTCCCTGCTCGAAGAGAGCGGCGTAGTATCAAGCAGTGCTCCTTGTCTCTGGAGACACAGCTGGGAAGGGTAGGAAGAGTCAGCGCAGCTGGGCTGGGCTACTCAGCATCGTACCTTACGAGCAGCATCCCAAACACTGCTATTAGTTGCTAGTCGTGCTGGTAACCCACACATTTAGAGTCATTGTAGTTCCAACGGCCATCAGCAGAGCTGCTGGGAGGAAGCCTGGAGCTCACATGAATAGTTCCCAGCACTCACCAAAGAACTGCTTTAAAGATTATGGGCAGCTGAAAGGCATCTGCACAGCTAGAGCTACTGAAATCTTGAAGGGAATTATGCCCTGGAGGACTTGAAAAACTTTGTGGCCTTCATAGTCTTCATTCTCTCTAAAGATACTGTGCACTGTGTGATAGTGGCTTCAGAATGCATCATTTAGCATTATTAACAATGAATGACATAAAACCCCAAAAGGTTAAATAGCGGTTACATCCAGAGCAGCCCCCCGCTGACCTCAACAAATGGCATTTTCACACTTGACTTCTCTGTGGACAGCACTGTATTTGGGGACATTTGTCCTCTCTGTTGCTCTCGGAGATGGAAAACCTGCAGGTGGGCACATACGGATGTTAGCATTTTGAGAAGTGGTGTTGGCATCTTTTCAAAGTAAGCGAGCAGAACGTGCTCTGAGACAGAAAGAAGAGCCGACCCCTTCGGCCCCGCACGGTCTGACCTACGGGCCATGGCTCTGGAGGGGCTGTGCTGAGACTTCGCTATGACTTGGGAATGTGATTCCTGTTCTGTGCTCTGGGGAGGAAAACCTGTTTCAGGCTTATTTAATGTCCCTGTGCCTGGTAACAGGAATGGTTAGATTGCTGGAGTACTTACTGTTCTGGACAGAGGAATGCATGCAAATGCTCCCTTTAGTATCGGGAACCCCTATTTTCAGGTTTTTTTATCCTCTGTATAGGATAGCACAACCACCTTATGTTCTGCCTACAAGTGATCACTTGCTTCTTGCAGACAAGACATTTAAAGACATATGTAACACAGCCTGGTACAGTGTCTCTTTTTTCTCCCAAGTCTAGCTAGCAAACCTGTTAAATCCTCCCAGCTCCACCCTTGACTGTGCTTTATGCAGACGACCTGAGTAGCTGGAGAGGCAGATGTAGCATGTAGGACTCCTTTGAAATACTGCCATGTGTGATGTCTTCCCTTAAAGATACCTCCGCAGAGACCCTCACATGGCTGTCACCACGCCCTGTTCCTCAAGACACTTTCCTCATTGTCCTGTAGGGGGAATGCCCTACCATACTTAGCTTTCAACCTAGAGGACGTTTGTAAGAAGCAGACTGGGTGGAAACGCTGCACAGGTGCGTGTATTGCTGCTGTTCAAGGCCAAACCGAAGTTCATGGGGAGAGGCGAGGGAATTAAGTAAGCAAACTCAATTTTAAATAACAATATGGCTTTAATCTTCCCCTTTGCTTATATCTTCAGGACATGACATGCTCAACACTTTTGAAATCAATAAATACAGGTACAACGTTCGAGCCAAACTAACTTTTCTAACCAGCTTAGTGCTGACAGTCATTGTGCAATGTGAGCTTTGCTTCTCTCTTTTGGGGAGAGACTTCTTGCTGCATTGGCAGCCAAATTGCAGGAATTTTAACCCTCTCATACATAATTTCATATTCAGAACAATGTTTGCAACAACTGCTGTATGAACAGCATTCATCTTATCAATACATGTGCATAAACCTTCATTCTTCGAATCAGCTACAGAGCTTACCTAACTACTCAAATATGTATGTAAATTGCACCCTTGCCATTCAAATTACTTTAAAAATGTCTTCACAGATACGTATTACATATGTAGTCTACATGTCACAGTAATTTCATTGCCTGCGTCCACTGTTGAAAAGCGATTTATAGCTCTTTTTGACAAAATATGAGTAGAAAAAATCATATAGATATGAGTTACAACATATAAATAGAAATAATAGAAAAATAGATACATTGTACACCATTGTACATAACATTAATACAATATGTCTGCGTAACACCAAATCTACTGAAATTTATTTCGGCCTGCCACAAGATCCAGTTATTCCAGATCTAAACAGAAGCTTGGACAAAACTCAAGGAATTAGTATTATTTCACAGTAATACGGCACAGAAGTTAAAATAGCAAAGTTTCTATGGTCCAGGCCACGGCTTTAGGAACACAGTAAAGTATTCTTCACAGTCCTGGACTAGAGACACAGCTCTGCTGTTTAGCGTTTGAAAAAGCTCTGTGGTACCGTTGCCCCGACAGAAAAATTCCTCCTTCTCTGACCGTGCCTTTTGCCTCTCGTACAGAAGGCACGGCATAGCTATGTTCACGGAGCTACAGAGCAGAGACTCATCCAGTGCAGCTCATATTAGTTCATTCTTGTGCTATTTCTACGTATCAGAATGGTGCATTGTCATTTTCTTGTTGAAAATCAGATTTTTTAAATACATATCAGAAAAGCTAAAATTCCCAGGATGCGCTCATGCTGATCTCGGTCATTACATTATTTATGCTAATGAGAGGAATCAATTAGTGTTTATAAGTTTTGACATTACACATTGACATTACATCCTCAACTAAGAGGACACTTGGGGACAAACATAGCGGGTCCTCTCTCCTCATGGAGGAGGAGAGCATGGAGAGGAGGAGCATGAGGTGAATCAGTGTATTTCCTCTGAGTATGAGGGAAAAAAGTAGATGAACATACGTATAACTACAGAGCTCCAGAGAAATTCTTTAATTTTTATACAAAGCTGTCTCTATTTCATTATCATCCTGGTAAATACAAGGCACTTTAAAAGTTACTGCAGCACTCACCTGGAATAAGGTGTGCAATTTGGGGCCGGGGGGGAGGGAAGGAATCACTGATACCAGGTGAAAAGGGTTACTTTTGGATGTTCAGGAGAATGGAAAACCTGTCTTAAAAGTGGAGACTGAAGGACTGGGCTTGTTTATCCTAGCAAACAAAGGCTGGGAGAGGGTTCTGTTTGATCTGTAAAACAGAGCCAAGTGAGAAGAAGAGCTCCTTAAACAACTGGGCATCAAAGACGCAAAAAAAGTTGGGTGAACCCATATGTTCCCACCTACGTGTCTGTGAGAAATAATAATTTCCTGATGCTTCTGCCTCACTCGGGGAAGTGAGATTGCAGAATAGGTTCCCGCAGGTCTACGTGAGTGGCCGGGGAAGGAAGGGAGCTGCTGAAGGGGGCTGCACCTCATGGTGCCCGCAGGAGCAGGGGCTGGACTCTGAGCGAGGAAAGCCTTGCAAATCTGGTAATGGGTAACTGCTTAAGTACCAGAGGAGAAGGCGTTTCGTGTGGCCTGCTCTCTTTGGGGATGCCAAAAGGAAAGAGACCTGAAAGAGAAATGGCTCCCTAAGATGGCTTTTCATCTTCTAGTACTTTAACGCTGCCCAGTCATATGCTGGAGAGTCTTTTCCTGGCCACAGTCCTAGCAGTATTTTTAGGAAGAACTTCCCCTTTTATTAGCCTCTGCCCAGGCACTTGGAAATGGCAGTTTCCATTCACAGAGTTTTTCTCAGATTTACATGAGTCTGAGATAGTAGCTCGGGAGCTGGAAGACTTTGAATCCAAAGAAATCTGACTAACAGCAACGCTGCCTGCGCTCTTGGAGGAATACGTGTAAATCGTTTTGAGAAAGGCAGATTTTGTGTTTGTTTCTTGCTTGTAAATGATGATATAGCACTTTGGAAGAAAAGTGCAGCAGAGGATTCCATAATTGGATATTAAAACAACGATGATTTCCACTGCCGGCAGGTATTTGCCAAATGTAGTTGCATAGACAGGGATAAATACAATCCACGCTATAAAGTAAATTAGCATGCCAAAGGTGATGAATTTAGCTTCATTGTAGTTCTCTGGTAACTTCCTACCTTTAAAGGCAAATATGAAGCAAATGAAGGCTAGGGCAGCGATGTAGCCCAACATAATCCCAAAAGCCACAATAGAGCCCTCATTGCACTCCAGAATTATTGCTCTTGGGATTGAGAAATTTTGCTTTACAAAAGGTGTCCTGAATATTAGCCAGAAGGTGCAAATGATAACTTGAATTCCAGTGCAGGTGACCACGGTGGGAACAGGTTTATATAAGCATTTCAGGAAATTCTGCAGCTTGGGATCAAAGCTGAAGGCTAGTAAAATTTTTAGTGACTTTATTAAAATACATGAAATGCAGAGTGCAAAACTTATGCCGAAGAGGGCTTGCCTAGTTTTACACTTGAATTCTGTGGGTTCATCTACGAAGAAGACGGTGCTTAAAAAAATTAAGAAGTGGCTGAAGAGAATAATGTAGCAGACGGTTAGACCTCCAGATGCCTTCACAACCGGTGTGTTCAAGTTTCTAGTAAATATGACACTAATTGACAAAACCAACACAACCCCAAAAGCGGAGAGGAGGAGGAGGAAAATAGCAAACCAGTCAGTCCAGGCGAGGAAATGGATTGTCTTTCTGTAGCACGTGGTACTGTTGGCGGGAGCCCAGTAGGTTTTGTTGTTACATCGGTAGCAGTAATCCATATCTGAAAGCAGAAAAAGGAAGATAACTTAGAAGCCCGAAGTAAATAAACTGCGAAGTGGATTATCGAGGCTTGAGATACAGGAGGAATGTGGGAAGGGATGATGGGGGGAGTAGAGAGGGCTGATTTCTCCGACTATTGCTGTCGCCGTCCAGGCGGAGGAGCTGCAGGGCTGCCGTGGCGGCAGCGGCGGCAGCGGCGGCAGGAGCAAAGGACGAACGCCTGCCCGCTTGGGAGCAGGGGCGGCCTGCGGCCAGCGGCGGGGAGGGGACGGGGAGAATGAGCAGGGTCCTAAAACTGCCCTGGTCATCGCTGACTGGCGACACGTAACCTGGCCGGAGCTCTGGACAGGCAAACTTTAACTGAAACCTGAACAATGACTTGAGAGTAAATCAATTGTCTGGCAGAAATTGGAACTATGTTTCTTTTGTTTTGACAAGAAAAAAAACAACTTTCTCTCTACAGACAGCTTTTGAAATACAGCTGCAAGAATCAGCATTGCTTTAGATTATGCTTTGAAAGGTTACATTTGCTTTAAAATTACTATCCTCTGAGATGGAGAAATTTCACAATTATTTGAGTTAAGAAGATAAAATTTAATTTCCTTCTGCTCTCAGGATATTAAAAGCACATTGTACTGCAACTTTCTTAATTCCGTCTCTCTCCTCCATATTTAAGTTTCCCCTTCAAAAATTTTTGCTCAAACCTATAAATGAACCAGTGGTAAAGTACACCTCAGATTTGATACTAGAAAATACTACTGTACATTAATATCAAACTTCACAGTACTCCTTGGTAAGACAAAAAATACGCTGGTAAGCAAAATACATAACCCTTAAACTTTGTAGACTCATAGAATGGTATGGGCTGGAAGGGACCTTCAAAGATTGTCTAGTCCAACCCCCTGCCGTGGGCAGGGACATCTTTCACTACATCAGGTTGCTCAAAGTCCCATCCAACCTGGCCTTGAACCCTTCCAGGGACGGGGCATCCACAACTTCTCCGGGCAACCTGTTCCAGTGCCTCACCACCCTCAGCGTAAAAAATTTCTTCCTTATTGGACTGGGTGTACTGCAGAAAGACAGGGAAGCAAGGCTCCGTTTAAATGAGAGTCAGTCTAACTGAGAAATCAGCCAGACTTTCCATCCTAACAAAGGATAATCCTAGTCAACTGGAAAATCTAATTGCTTTACGTTTGGTCCTCTAAAAAGCATTTAAAAGAAGTTTATAGGCTGAACACTCCTATTTGGGAAACTGAGCATAAACAAATATTTTAATCCCATTCCAAAGTTATACCCAAGGTTGCCAAGGCACATTATACCCAAACAAAACAATTGTATTGATGTCTAAATAAACCTTTATTTGGATCACAATTCCTTACCTGTTTGATTGCTGTAATGGTTTTCTGGGCAGTAAACACACTCATAGCAGCATGTGTGTGGACTTTCTGTAACCTTTTTCATCTGTCCTGGCCTGCAGTGCTGGGAGCATGTTGACTGAACCTTCTGCAGTGTGCAGAGAACAAAAAAAATCAGCTCAGGCACAACTAATTACTAAGAACCATTAAAATAAACCTCCAGCAATTCTGCAATTTGCACTCTCTTTTCATATCTAACATATTTTAAGGGAATCTGAAAATGATGCTGAAAAAAGGCATTGTAGGCTCCATGTTTCTTGTATTTTCTCCACACCGTCAACAAGTGACAGGATGGGGCATTATCTACCTCATAATTTTATTTTTTTGGCCCTGAATGCCAATCAGTGGAACTGTCTGTACCCTTAAAATCCAGATCAAAGTGTCTCATCCAGCTTTGCACCCAGGGTTGAGACTGCTGAGGATCAGCTCCAAAGAAAGCCCAGAAGTATCTGATGGGGGATTCGAGTGGACTGCTTCACAAGTGACATCCTGAAACTCTGCTTGGCTGCTCTGAGCCCAGTGGAGACATGTCGACCCGCGGGAGACACCTCAGCTCAGGGGAGACACCTCGGCGGGTGCTCTGCACTGCAGCTCCGATGTTCCTGACCCTCAGCAGCTCATCCCCGAGTCGTGAAGCACCACTCTGGGGGGGGTGATCAGGGCCTTCTCTCGAGGTCTGAGTTCAGGTCCTCCTTCCAAAGACAGTTTTTTGTAAAATGGAGCAGCAGTCCTGAGGGACACTAATATTTCCTCTCCCTCCAGCATGGTGCTCACAAGGAGGTGGAGACATCTCCTTGCCATCCTGGGCAGTGCCACAAAGAGGGACAAGATTTGAGGTTTTCTTCTGTCCTCAGCCTTTTCTATCAGCTGAGACTCGGATTCAGCCCACCTAGTAAGCAGCCTCTCCCCATCCCGTTAGTGGTGAATGCTTTGCAGCACAGAGCTGTACAATAAAGCAAGACCTCCACCCATGCACAGATGACAGATTATCCAGCTGGAACTGGCCGGGGCCACCCACTAGTCCTGTCTACTCCAGTGCCGGGGCTCCAGGTGGTGTCACCTACCTCAGACTTCTGTAGTTGTGCTGACCGCAGCTCTAATAGGAGCAAATAATCAACAAAACCTTCTTTTTCTTTTTTTTTTTTAAACAGTAAAGTCAACAGATATAAGTCTTCATGTACAAAATAAATGGCGGTGTTAGGTAAGAGAGGGAGCTTTTTTTTTGACACAGTCAAAAACATGACACAGTCATTTTTTATTTTAAAACCCCTTTTCAAGATTCTGGAATAGCATCCTTAGGACAGACGTAACTTCTATCGCTTATCTTAGTAGACCTCTTAGAAGCATTCTGGAGAAATAACTCAATTGCAAATCACTGAGCCTGCTCACAGGCTACCATGGTTCTCAGGGTGCATGAAGGTGGTCGAGTAAACCCAGAGAGGATTCTTTGCTCTAAAAGGAGAACATGAAACCACAAGAGGGATTTCTGGCTGACACATACTTCAGTTGCAAACACTGGAGGGAGAAGAAAACACATGAAGCAAATTTCACATGTTATGTCAACAAATTAAAAGTTACCTTTAAATCCAGAAATTCTTTTTTTTTCTCCTCATCCTCAAAGATGAAGTCACCTTTCTCTGGGTCATATTCTGCCATAGTGGTGATTTCCACGTGGCCATCAATTTCTTTCCAAAGAAGTACATCATAACTGGTGCTCATATCTCCATTGGAGTCAAACTTGATTTCTTTATCATCATCAATGACTGTAACTTTTTTAAGTTCTTCAAGGAGCTGAACAAAAGTATAAGGAACAATAACATACATCAGTATCATGTCAGTATGATAAACTCAATAGTTTAACATCTGTGTGATAATATCAAGTTAAAAAGAAATGTTGCTTTTTAGGAGTAAAAGAAATCTTAAAGTTAAAAGGCATCTTTATGACTGTTTAATTTGACGTCCTACACAGAATTATGTTATTCAGACAATCCTGTTGACTTTAAAAATCTATCAATAAAAAAATCATCATTTCTTAACTCTATGCAATGTGTGCAAACACTCATGTTAGTATTTTTTTCTAGCCTTGGAAATTTTGGTACGATGATGGGAAAGAAAAGATTTTTGCTTGCAGGAACTAATGGCCTTTTGGAACTCCCCTTCTTGTAAAGAATGACTGTGGATGATGCTCCTGTTGTTACTTTACTGTCACCAGAGTTGATCCGGGCAAGATTTGCTTCCACAGTAACCTCCCCCAGCATGTCTGGAAATATCTAACATTGTTTTCAGCTGTGACTCTGACTGATATTGTGCATTGCAAGGTGAGACTCAGAATTGTTAAATAAACAATACATGCCAGTTTGCACAGATGAAGTGATCAATGGCACGATGGCAATAAACAGCTGGGACGTATTTGATAGATCGTAGGAAATATCAGGACAAGCATGCTTTGATAAGCAACTGTCCAGCTTCACATTGCAACCTAATCTGTTCAGCGGGGGGAAATTTCTGTCTCCCTCATCACAAACAGCCAGATCAAAAAGTTCTGTGTGAATCTAGAAAAGGACAGGTTAGGGCACAAATAACCCACTCCCAATTCATGGGGAGACCGTAGAAGGACTTCCATTAGCTACCGTGGTTCTTAATTGGAGCAAAGGCTTTATCCCTTTGCAGGCCTAATGATTTTTGGCAACAGGGATTAATTAGCAAGAAAAAACCCCCAAGGTTTTTGTGAAAGGCTGAATTTAACTGCCCTTTGAAAAGCATGCTCTCACATGGATCCATTTGTGATATTTGTAGCATTTAACGAACATGCTGACAAGTATATTACTTCTATAGGTTTTGGCAAATATATGCATATAACACATCTGGTGTATATAACGTCATTTTTTCATGTATAACATGATTTTTTTGAGAGTTCATATACTCTCACTGCATCTCTACCAATTTATGAAGAACCAAAGCATGCTTCTAACCAATATTGTGTTTAAGTTGGATGTTGCATAGTTGTGTGGGACTGAATAGGAATTTTTTTATTGTATATACTCAGGCTAGTCATTTAATCTTTCTCTTCTCCACTTCTCCAATTTCTCTAACAATGTGGGAACAACAGAGCTTTTTGAATACAACTTGAGCTTCAGACAGAAGGGGCTAATAATTAGCAACATTTTGATTTAACTGATGGTTATTTTTGCAAAGTCTGTAACACCAATGACTGTCATTTCTCTGTATGTGGAGATGTGTGATATGGATTAGTTGCATCCTAAGCTTTATATATAATGCACCCACATTTCTAGAGGGTTTAAATTTAGTGTAGAGGAAATGTATTATGAAAAGAGCATGGGGGGAATAACTCTCTCTTTCAGTTTTCTTCCTGAGTTCTTAGCCTCTTAACAGGACTTTTAATTTGGGTGGTTTGGGATTTAATTCAGCAATGATGTAAATGCAGCTCCATAAATTTGCATCCCCTGTAGAGCAGTCCTGAATTTGTCCCATTTGCATTTACAAATTCAGGTAAGAGTCTGATTGTTACTGGTTTGTTGTTTTTTTTTTTTTCCAAATCCCCTATCTTGGTTTGACCTGCCCTGACCTAGGATAAGAGGTCAGAGCAAGTCAGAGCGCTTCAGTGGTTGTTTGACTTTTAAATGAACTTTTGTTTAATCCTCTGAGTAAAAGTGTGTAAAAGTGAATACTCCTGAGCAGGTTCTTGGGTAAAAGGTCAGGTCAGGTTTACTTGTCTGATTTTCCTCTTCTTTTCCCACCCAATAGCATTTGATAACAAGTACCTCACCCATCTTAAAGATTGTGTCTAATTTTCTGACCAGTCACTCCAGTGTAAATCAAGATCAGACAGAGGAATAGACTGTTGCATTTTCACTTTTAAGAAAAGATTCATTATAGAGGAAAATACCTGAATTTAGACAAAACAGAGACAATGGTGAGAGAGAGAGAGAGAGAGGAAAATTGAAACTCTTTGGGAATGCTCCTTGTGTAAAAGTGAATACTCCTGAGCAGGTTCTTGGGTAAAAGGTCAGGTCAGGTTTACTTGTCTGATTTTCCTCTTCTTTTCCCACCCAATAGCATTTGATAACAAGTACCTCACCCATCTTAAAGATTGTGTCTAATTTTCTGACCAGTCACTCCAGTGTAAATCAAGATCAGACAGAGGAATAGACTGTTGCATTTTCACTTTTAAGAAAAGATTCATTATAGAGGAAAATACCTGAATTTAGACAAAACAGAGACAATGGTGAGAGAGAGAGAGAGAGAGGAAAATTGAAACTCTTTGGTGAATGCTCCTATCCTGCAATATCCCCATCTCTCAAGAGCACTCATTGCTGTGTATTACAGTGGTTTGCAGCAACAGGACCAACCACTAGAAGATGAATAGCTGATAAGTCAACTGCAGATTGACTGTACATTTTATTCTATCCCACATGAGTAGCTAGCAAGACGTTACAGCAAGGAGCCTACAGGCTGGAGCCTTCCTCCAAGCTGGTGCCTACTCTGTGTGCTCTTTGAAGGTGATGGGGGAAGTGTCAGGGTAGCTAATGAAGCCCAGCACCTAAAGATCCCTTCTGCACCTGTGGAGTCACGTGTTTACAGCCATTGCTATTGTACCCATGAAGGAGGAGATGGTGGGTATGCAGCTACTCATGATCAGTCAGCTCCCTGTATATGAAATGCAGTAATGATTCTCTACCTACAGCAGAACACAGCCATGGCTTAGCACCAGGAGCTTCTGTGTCTACATGGGGCAGAAAAAGGGAGGCAAAACTGGATTCTAGTTCTAAGCACTGCAGCAGTTAGATACTGCTGCTCTAGCACATAGTCTGTGATTTCAGCTGGTGAAGAAAGGCAGGAACAGGAATAAAAAGTCATTTAGTAAAAGGACCAAGCTAGTAAATCTAGGAATGTGGGAGCAAAAATGAGATGAAAGTTTTGCAGAGAGAAAGAGGCCTGAAAGAATTAACAGCATACCTCCCAGGGAGTAAAGGCAGAGGGATCCTTGCAGTTTCTGTCTTTGCATTGCCCCTTAATGGCGTGAGCAATGGCATAGACTGCAAGTATAGTACTATGGATAAATCCTGGTTCAATGTTAGCATTCAAAAAACCATCTCTCCAGATCTGATGTTTATTTTCAACATTTTGCAATAGATCATCCTGGGACTGGTTTGAAATGCACATTTGAAAATCGTGGTATTCCAGGTGTGCACAGACTGACAAAAGCATAATATATTCATGTAAAAACTTGTTGTTGTCAGTGGGCTTTTCATGAAGGTTTCTCAGAAAGTCTTGGAATGTGGAGATGTCTCCGCTTTTAAATCCAAATCCCACAATGGTCCCCAGCTGTCTGATATTGGGAATTGTACTGATTTTGACTGCAGCTGACCAATTATCACTTGCAATCCAGATTTTATTTACATTCCTCTCAACTGCCTTCTTAAATAGTTTGAGCACGTGGAACTGTCTCATAAAGACAACAATAACATTTACTCTGGTTTCCTTGACAATCTTCTCAATTGCGTGATCAACTTTGGTTTGAAAGGTGTTGTCAGAGAGATAGGCAGGCAGCATTTCTTTAAAAGCTATGCAAACGTTGTTTGCCATGGCCTGGACCCCAAAGCTCTCCAGAGCAAAGCGCCCGTTGTCATCATCAGTGGCTATTACTCCAATCCAATTCCACCCAGACTCACAGATCAAATGGGCCATTGCTCTTGTCTGATGGAAATCACTGGGGATAGTCCTGAAGAAAGAAGGAAACCGGATTTTGTCACTGAGGATTTCAGCTGATGATGCAGGACTGACCTAGGAAGAGCGAACAATTCAGTTACGGACGAGGTCTCCTGCAAAGGATGCCAAGAGATCCAAAACTGCCACGATTGCTCTTTCATCCAGCCTGACCCAGGGCTCCCTCCTCCTGTGACTGAACATCAGCAAGGTGCAGCCGAATGGGGCAGGTTCCCTCACCCTGCTACTCGGATGCAGACTCATGCCCAGTACCGCTTCCACCATTTTCATCCTCATGCACATAATTACTTACTTCGGTAAAGGCAGAGAATAAAACCTTTCAAAATGGATATGACAGTTATGCTGGTATAAGGATTTTGTTTTACTCTGTTCAGATACCATCAGTGTGCTGTTCAAAACAATATTTAAAACATTGGAAGCATTAAGTGTGTTTGAGTTATTATTCAAATTGCTAGTACCCTTATATTTTGCAGTACTTTCCTATCACTGAGTATGTTAGTATGGTTCACCCACATATATATTTTCTCTCCAAGATTTAATTACTATATTTTAAAAGGATCATCAAGTCTGTTAGAAGAACCTCCCAGAAAAACAAACAGTAACCAATACTACAGAATGCTATGATTCTTTCATATAAAAGATTTATTACCTTTTCCTTGTGAATGTAGCTAGAAAAAGGTAAATGGGACATTGTTATTTAAATCGCTTTAGTTTTATTCCTTTTCTATTTGTTTGTGGGAGGGTTTTTTCCTACAGTTACATCTCATTCATTGCTTGATAGTTCTTAAAAAATAAATCTAAGCTTTCCAAAATGAGAGTCACCTGTCTGGAGGGGATACCAAATCTTACTATTGTCAGAAGATTACAGAAGCTATCGATGAGAAAAATCTGCTGGGTCACCTTTTCCATCTCTATGTCCCAATGCAGATTTGTTTCATCACTTGCATTTTGCTTATATTCAAGTGTGGCATTTTAATTTTCATACTTACTATTGTTCCCGTGGTAGAGCTGGAGGTCATAATTACCTCCTACCATTGCAGAGGAAAAGATGCAGTTGGAAGTTACGTTTAGTTCAGATTTTGTGTCTTTTGCACATGTTTGGTTACTATGTCGCTACTTTGCAGTAAGGTAATTGAAGTCAAATTGCCCAACCCAATGTGCAACACAGGATGGTGTGGAAGTGGATCTCCTTTTTCCTTGTTGGTCCTGGCCTCTTTTACAATGGTGAAAGTAGAAATGTAAGCACCAGCCTAAGTGCAAGTGTGGGACTGTACTAGTCCTAGAGAGGTCAGAAATAGAGAAGGATGTTTTGGGAAGGACCAGTGTGGATCTAGAGAGTTGTATTCCTTCTTTTCTATAGCTGCTTGAAGAGTAACAGGAGTAAAACTGTGTTTTAGAGCAATATTCCTCACTTCCCTGTCCATAGTTGAAACAGACTCCAAAACCCAACCTATCTCAGGCGGGAGAGAATTTCCAAATTTCTGGCCAAATTTGATTTTTTTTTCTTCCCAGCTTGAGATTGGGTATTGTCATATTCACCACCAGCCAGACTAGACACGGCGGGTGTAACTTGGTTGCCTGAACAAAGTCCTTGAGTGGCATCTGAGGTATGCTAGAGTAACTGGCACAGCCACGCGGGACTGACTAATGGTGCTGCCAGGCTGACAAGAGCCCAGCATCATCCTGAAATAGCACTCGGAGGCCTGTGCCTTGGGTGTATAAAATAGCCCTTACTGCCTTTGTTTAGGCAAGTGAATCAAGCTCTCCATTTGGAGTTGAGTCTCACCCCTCCTGATGTCCTTAGGTTGAGTCAAATCCTGCCCTGTAGCAAACATGTGGCTTTTGCAGTCCCTATGATTAAAGCCACACCTTTGTTCTAAGCATGGTAAATTTGACCCTCTGTCCAAAATGAAATAGCTCCCTCAAACCTACCTGTGGGATTAGTTGCAAAGCCAGCAGCCTTGAAACTGCCATTGACACCTCCGAGTAGCTGGCTCCAGTGACTGCTTTAATTCTCGGGACGTAGTCTGAGTAGTTACACTTGAACTCTACAACGTCCTTCGAAGAATTGAATTTAGCCAGGAACCTCAGAGCAGAAGCCATGGCTTTTGTAACTTCTGCACATGTGTCATAGATTTCGTAGCCCAGAGTAACTCCAGATAAGAGTGTTGAATTGTTGATCATTTCAATAGCATGTATCATTGCAAGTGTCTGAAGAAAAATTTGAATTTCAAAGCTGTCAGGAAACACAGAAGTTTTTTTTTAGAAAAACATTGCTGGGAACAAAGCTGAAGCAAAGTCCGTTTTGAGCATATCCCTTAGAATTTGACAACTACTGAAAAGAAGTGATGGATAGTATGTTTTGTGTGATTTGCTTGGGTTTTATTGTACAAAAGATTAGAAACTGTGTATTTTTGTCTCATCTAAATGGGAGATTAAGCAAAATAAACACAAAACTTAAGATATACCTTAAAAAAGTGTTTTTTTCTGAAAAAAACAGGTACTAAAAATTAACTTCCATGTTACACGAAAATTTGCAAGTCATATCTTCAGGAAGCATCTGTCAAAGTCAGTGAAGCTATTCCAATTTACTTCATGTGCCCAGTAAGCTTTTTTAAAAATGTATTTACTTTCACCAAAAGCATGAAACAAAGAAAAGAAAGGACTAAATATTTCAGAATAGAAGAAAAAATTTCAGAGGTTGAGGTCTTCTAGTGGTTGCATTGATGTTCCTAAAATCCTAAAATCCTCTCTAAACCTGATGAAGTTTGGCCTGTATCAGAAATAGTGTGGCCAGCAGGAGTAGGGAAGTGATGGTGCCCCTGTACTCGGCCCTGGTGAGGCCGCACCTCGAATACTGTGTTCAGTTTTGGGGCCCTCACTACAAGAAGGACGTCGAGGTGCTGGAGCGTGTCCAGAGAAGGGCAACGAGGCTGGTGA